GACGATCACGTTCGGCACGCGAATACACATTAACTCGAATAGGGTAAGCTGTCGCGTCTATTGCTATTCTGTTTGAATCTTTTTATCGTTCCTGAATGGATTCGTGATAGGATACTAGGGAGTTAATAGTACGCCTGTTGATTTGACGTTGTTGTAATTAAGCTTAGATATTGAGATCAGAAGAGGAAAAGAAAAAGAAAAGGATTAATGCAGGAGGGTAAAATGAGATTACGTTGAAGCTTGCACATCTCATTTTCTCTTTATGAGAAATAGGATACAAATTTTGTAATATGGAGAATTAAAATTAGGGCTGATTGAAATGAAATATTATAACGAAATTCGAAATAAATTGAAATTGAAAATATTACGTTCTAAAATTTACCTTGGAATTTGTGATCTCCTTACATCGTCTCTTTGCGATAAATAAATTCGTGACAATACGTCGTTTGTTTTTTTAAGATATTAAATTCTAATTATGTGCCTGGTTCATGCAATTGAGAACTTCATAAAATATGAAATTGATGAGTTTGACTTCTGAGTGGTTCAATTATATCATCGAGTTCCAATTAAAAATATTTTATCGGCAATTAAACAGATTTATGATGATCATAACGGCAGATAACTGACTACAGAATTGTCGTCGAAAGTTGAAATTACAACAAATTGCGACAGGATATTCAACCGCGCGTAAGCAAAACTCTTGCAAATTTCGAATTTCGTCCTTTTCGTTTTTTGCTTCAAATTTCCAAGTACTTTACACGCTCGTATATCTCGTTTATAGAGCACGCCCCGGTCTATTTTTATTCAGGTAACACATTGTAAATCACGAGAAACGCGCAGCGTTCCACTTTCATAGAAGCATTCGAACGCGTCGCGCTCGTTCTCCTCGAAATTCCCCCGCTTACGTCACGATATATCGAGCAGCGTTCTTGTAACACGGCCGACGTATCTCCCCTTGTATCCTGACACGGGGAATGCGTCGAACGAGTTCGTTAACCATTCTCCTTTTTGCTCGTTCCCCACACGGTCGCCTCTTTCTTCCCTATTGGACACGGATCCACGCTGTTTTCGGCAGTGATCTCATAATTACGTACGTGGGTGGCTTTCTCGCGCCGATTTTTGCTTCTCTGTGCTCGTCCGATAACTTTTGCACGAGTAACTCCGTTATCGGAACAATTTCAAAATAATTACAATGTTGAGATAAAAACTTCTTTACACGAAAGTTTTTATTGTATCATGTCTGATTAGATAACTGTTATTAAGAAAGTCACTGTCGATAATTAGTAGAATTAGTGGACGAGACAATTTTTTTATTATTTATCGTAAAAGGATTTTCAAAAGCTGAATTAAAGAGTATCGAACAACTTTCTAGTTGTTTGATTTTCAAATGTTATTACGCTCTGTACATACACACAAACAAATCTCTATCACGTATCATCCCATAAATTCGTCAATACTTGCCTACGATTCGCTGCGAATTTCTCTCAGAAATGGAATTATATCACAGTCACTTAGCGTGGAGTTTCATACGTAATTAAAATCACTTAGATGATTTAACTTGAAAAAGGAAAGAGAAAATAAAAGAAACTTGTAGGAAACGAAATCACAACAGTATCCGTCGAGGCTGGACAGGTGCGCGAAATGTGCAAAGAGGAAGAGGAAAAAAAAGCCGATCTGTCTTCGCATGCCGGAGGGACCAGCCTCCTTTGGAAACTGCGATTCCAAGGTCCGTTGTTGCCAGTTACTATTCATCTAACCCGAATAATTTTACTCGTTAAAGCCTGGTATCGATCCTCGCGATAATAAGGGTGCGTATCTCAGAAGCGAGGATTGCTTTGCGAATACGCGATGAAAATATAAAGGGAATGGATTAAAGTCACATTTAATACGAAAGGTGAGAAATATTTTAGCAAAATATTATGTGAAATGTTTTAATTTATCTTTCTATAAGAAATATAATGCTACGAGTTTATTAAGACAACGGAAAGGTAGTTAATTGAATAGTGGTATGCTTTTAAAAAATTTTCATATTAAATAATTCGGCATATTTATTGTCACTCAACAATATCGCGGTGTAATCGACGAGACGCGATTTTAAAAGGTATTAAGTACTTTCATTTACTCTGGCATGATCATTTTCTCGAGAAAGAACATTCATAATTATGATACTATGATTGGAGGCAATAATAGATGCAACAAAGATATTTCTGACAAATTGGTATTTATAACGTAATCGTTAGCAATGGACGCGTAATTCACGACTGATTACGGTTCAGTTATTCCACTATAAATCCGCAATCGGAGCTGTTAGCTTCGTTTCGTTTGTTGGTTTTTGCGCGAATATTAAGTCGCGGCATAGAACATGAGGTAACAGAACAACGTATGCTCTAAGCAAGTTTATTGCAGTTTAAATTATATACCGCCGCTAACTGTTCCAACAAAACATTCTTTCTTAATGAGCGTCTTATTTCACGTTCGCCGTTGCTCATATTTGGGTTAACATATGGAGGAATGTTCCCCTATATGCGATCCTGTCACAGGATGCCGACATTTTTTTCTTTATTTCAGCATGCGCACGTTATTCATAAAAATATCGGACATCAACAATAATACGATTTCCTAATCGTTACGAGGGAACAAAATGAAAATTGCGATTTTAATTGAGTTTTATGGTGTATTCTAACGGCATCAAAGTTAATAGAAGTTCGAATTCCAAAGTTTACAGGTTTTTCTCGGAGCTTCAAATTACTTTGAAAGTGAGATTAATATCAATCAACTGATACGTCTTTTATGATCACGTCATATTTTAAGAGAAGATAGAAATACATCTAAAAGGAGAAAAGATCCAATCTACTAAATTTAACTATTCATCGGAATTCAATTACGACGAGCAGCATCATAACATTTCGATTAATCCTAGAAGTTTCATTTAAAAGACTTCACTTGCAACCGGCATATCGCGATCATTGGCACAACTTCGACAGAGTATCGTCTCGTTTACTATACCGTCAGTTTTTGCAGCGTAAAACAATCCCTACTCACGTCCGGTCTTCGATTCATCGAACACACGCTAAAAGCATTCAGGCGTATCCCGAAGAGACGAAGAAACATTCGAATCGCTCATAGCTCTACTTACAGGATGCTAATTGGAAGAATGGCAAGAGAACGAGGATAGTCGCGGAGGAAGATAGAGAAAGCAAGGGTGTACGAGGGGGAGAGAAGGTGAGACCGGTCCGGCGCAATTTACCAGTCGATCGAACGGTCGCGAGCGGTCAGAGGAACGCATTCGCCGAGGTATCGCACAAGCTAAGGAGTTGGTGGCGATTTAAAGCCGGTGACCAAGGAATAAACTTCGAGGTGTCGACGTCTACTGTCACAGCAACGCCACGCGTTCGCGCAAACCGTCGACACGCAACGTGAAACCGAGCTTATGACTCGCGTGAACGACTATGAACGGCGGTGGTATCGTCCGCCGCATACCACATGAACCGATTGATAGCGAGAGTAATGGCGCGAAAATTAGCGAAACTGACAGCGAGGAAGACGGACCTTGCCATTCCGAGATCCGTTAATGGAAAATATCGAAGCATGTGTGAAGCAATCGCGAGTGTGTCGCTCCTATTTAACTCTTCCACCCGTTTATTATCGCTTATTATAGAGAAAGATATGCGAGAATACAAGAGACAGAGTAAAACAAGCATGAAGAAAGCGTACAGGCTAGCGTGCTCCTCCGAGGAAGGACCAAGTTGATCGAATGGAAACGTGCATGAATAAGATAGAAGCAGGATGAAAGGGAGTGGATCGGGAAAAAGATAGAGGGAAAAGGATATCGAGTACGCGTGCACGAGGCAAAGACTCGGACTGGTAAATAGTAGAACAAAGCTGGTTCTCGGTGGGTTTTCCGGCTAGGGAATAGGATAGATATCGTCCATATCTATCTTGATACGATGTCTTGAGAGCATGAGACGGTAGCAACGGTCGGCGAAACAAAGAGGCAACGAGCGGTTCTCGGTCGTGGTTGAACGGAGACAAGTTGCTGCGCTGCCTGTCGAGGTGGGGAATCATCGACAACGACGGTGGACAGTCATGGCGAGGAAGAGAAGCTCTGAGGAAGCTCGTGGAAGAGAAGGGGAGACCGTGTGTTCGCTCAGAGAGGACAGCTGGTATCGACGGCGACGGCGTTCTCTCGTGAAGGTGATACCGATGGCATCGGCCGTGGTAGCGTGGTCGGCGTTGCGTCGGTGGTGGTGGCCGAGGATGCTGGTTATGGTGGTGGTGGTGGCCGAGAGGACGCGGAGGTAGTGGTGGTGGTCCAGCGGGCAT